CATTCACTCCAGTTCCATTACAGTTTTTCTTATTCACTTCGGGTTTTCACTATAACATTATGGAGCCCATACAGATATCTTGACATAACTTTCATTTGAATTATACAGTATTTATAAAACAGTATAAAAGATAATCAAGGTATCATGAAAGTATCATGATGTGTTGTGGCTTATATGGTGCCATATGTGTTTACATGGCTGTCTTTCTATACATGTATGTGCTTATTGTTTCTTTATATGTGAGATTATCCACTGAGCAATTTATTGCGCAAGCGAGTTGACCTGTTAACTCGCAGGTTCTTGATAGTTGGACCGTAGAGAGCAGCTTACAAGCTGCAGTTCATCTGTAGAAGACTCAGTCTTCAGTAGCTACTCATTTGGATATGTAATCTTTGTCTACCCTTTTTATGGCATTACAGGGCCACACAGTTGGGCCCATTTCATTTTGACATTAGATATTCATTGTTTTGTAAATATAATTACATTATTTTTGTAAACAGTATTCAGCATGCTATTATATTCAATATACATTATGACCTTCAGCATGGTCAGGGCCATACAAATTAACCAGTTCTGTAGCATCTCCGGTCCGGTTCATTCGGGTTTGACGGGGTGGACCGGGAGGGGGTGTTACACAATACCATTATTTCGTATCCACTGCACTTCTCTATGATCAGGATAAGAAGAATCAATGTAAAGCTCTCCTCACCAATTTACCACCTTTGAGCCTATTATTCAAACTATTCCTTCTCCAGTAAAACCAAAATCAGGTCTTGCTTTACCTAATGCAAACATGTTGAAACCTCCTCTCTGGCTTGCCCTACTCTCCTAGCATAGTGCTTAAACTCTCTCTCTCTCGCTTCCTTTAATTCTATATAGCCTACACTATGCATCACCTTCAAAACATCTCCATCAAAGGCCCATCTTTCTTAAACTTCAGCTTTCATAATCACTATCTTCGATCAAGGCCCATCTTCTTAAACTTTCAGCTTCATAATCACTATTCTTCATCTGAGCCAACTTCAGCTTCATAATCACTATCTTCATCTGAGCTGTTTTCTTCTTGACTTTTATTGGAGGAACTGCCACTCTCAATATCCCCCTCACCCCCCTTCATCTACACTAGGTTTAGATCCAGAACCAACACTAGGAAACTGCATATGACCCCTTTCACAATCTTGCCCTTCAGTGTTACCCACTTGCACATTAGCCCTTTCACAGTCTGCCCCTTCTTTGTTACCCATTTGTACATTAGCCCCTTCTGCACAAACATATTCCCTTTCCTCATTTGCACCTTCCCCTAATGGATTTTCATTTTCCACATTTGGCCCTTCCCTTAATGGATTTCCATCCCAGGACACATTCATTAATAGTGCATCATTAACTTCAATAACATCTGGTAGGTCAACTACATGCTCAATAAACAACTCCATTGTGCCCCCATTTTTCACAAACTCCAAATGGATTATTACATCAATATTATGATTGAGTAGGGAGAACACTTTAGTTTCTCCAACAATGAGGCCTTTGCAGTATAGTTGACCAATATGCTTATAACCCAAATCCTTTGCCCTTCCTAAAAGGTCCGCATGTGAAATTCTATAACTGTCCACATTTTCTTCTACAGTGACAGTGCCACCTAGATATCTCATACGAGGCTCTATTTCAAAGTGTCCGCCATAAAACCATCTAAGATGAATTATCTTCTCAACCATTCTGCAAATGAAGAATAAAATATTCATTTAACCATGAACCCTATATTCCCAGATTCACAAATCACGTGTATAGCATAATGAGGAAAATAAATACAATCTCAAAATAACCCTTCTTTAATTGTACTAATAATAAAAAAACCTTCATGCAACTAAATCAATATTTTTTTCTAAACAGGACAAAAACCCAAAAACATATTAAAACTCTCAAATGCCACTTCATTTTTTAATGAACAACACAAATGAGTTTTTCACGAAAGAAATTGACTACTTACGTGTTAACAGAGCTCTAGCAAATCCCTTTCCAGCGTCGCGATTGCTCATTACCAAATTCGCACTCTTACAGTCAAAAACCCTAACTTTGTCTCTTATCTCAACGACAAAATGTGTTTGGTTTCGTTTATGTAAGAGAAGTTTTCTTCAAGCTTTTGTTTTTATCTTTCCGTGCTTAGACATGGGTTTACCTCACCAATAGTCGTTTCTTCATCAAACGGAAAAAAAAAATTTTTATTCAAATTATCTGATGTGGCGAGTTAGATGGCCCGATTCTTCACTAACTAATCCAAGTCAATGTAAGTGGAAATCATGCGCTTCTGCTAGCATGGAAAGGTGCAATAGTGGTGCAAAAAAAAAAAAGACTTGAGGTCAATAACTGGTTACCCGCAAAGTTAGGGGTGTCATTGAGTTATTTTTAAAAGTTTGGGTGTAAATTTATGTATTTGGCCATATATAGATTGATGGTTATTCCAATAGTTTAAAAGTAGTTATAACGAGGGGCATAAAATGAAAAATAAATATCTCTCGAGTTAATTGGACAAACATTTTAGGATATCTAAAAATGAAAACATGGACAAACATTTTGGGATAGAAGGAGTAATAATTTAGAATATAACTCAAACAAAATACCACTAGCGAATTTCTAGCATAATTATAATTGGATCTCAATTAATGTCCTCTTATTTTAATTAGTAGTATCATCATATATATTATTATAACTATACTTAAATGTGCAGTGTAGAAAATTTAGGGATTGCAAAGATTGTAATTAATTATACCTAGCGGATGTATTCTTTAATAATACCATAATTAAACTTAATATTTTATTTAGTATTATTATTAGGCTACAATAATTATAATATTAAACTATAATTAAATGTTCTATTATTTTATTTATTAGTATTATCATATTATATTATTATAATTATAACTAGATATCTACTATTGAAAAATTAAGGATGGCAACAACTGTAATTAATTATAACTTAATAGGCATATTCTTTAATAAAAAAATATTAAACGTGATACTTTAGTTATTATTATTATTATTACTACTACTATAATATTGAAATATAATTATAATATTTTAATTAATAGCTAGTATTATTCAAATAATATAATAATTATTATTATTATTATTGTTATATATATATAATTCTGAAATAAAAAAATTTTCAAAATCTGACGTGGTACTCTCCTTTCTCAGTATTCTATTTTTCGTTTTTTATAAATTTTTGGATTTTTTTTCTTTTTTCTTTATTTTTTTTATTTGGATATATATTTTTTAAAAAATTCTTTTCTCTCTACATAGATATGTATTCAAATTTTTGAAGTTTTTAAATATTTTCTTATCTGTATAATAGCTATATTTATCCATATATATGTCATCCTAAATCTCTTTGTTTGAAAATTTCCATTTTGTATTGGTCGTTGGGAGTCTCATATCATTTGTTCATCATTTCATATTTATATTAATTTAATCTTTTTTACATGGATGTGATTGGTTTTCTCTGTTCTGATATTCCTTTATAGGTGGATTTGAAAATTGACATTGAGGTAATCTCTTGGTCCCTTCTTTTATTATAATTTTTGTGTATTTATGGTCCCTTCTTTGTGTATTCATTTTGTTTTTCTTTTTGTTGCATCGTATACTTAGTTTAAAAGAAGAATGAGAACTCTCTTCTTTGAAATTTTTTTTTTTTCCTATCTATCTTATCTATTTATCTATTTAGAATCATATGTGCTGTCTTTTTACGATTGTTCACTAATTCAAAACACCATAAACACAGGTACCTCTAGTTGCCACATTTCCTAACTTTAGTGCAACAAATTCCTTTTCTCATTTCGCAAACTAATGCAAGCATCAATTTCCCTTAATATTTTATTACAGTTTTTAGATAATTGAGGTATTTGATTATGTTATATTACAGGTAGCTAAGCTTAAAAAAAAGCAAAGATGGGCCATCAATGTCGAAAAAGGCAAACTTTGTTCTTATGCGGACATTTCACTTTGATACATTATGCCTTTGTCTAGTTGAAGATATCTCATTTAATTAAATGCCTTTGTCAACTCCTCTGTTCATGTGTATTTGTTTTAAGTCTAAACTCTTTCTTTTGCTTCCATTTTAGAGTCTTCATAACAGATAGGATGTAGACACGGCTTCTGTTCTCAATAAATCAGCCCAGTTTTTTAGCACGGTTATGCCTTACTTTCTCAATGAAATGAATTGGAATTTTTTCCCTTTTTACGTTTGTTCTTTCTATGATACTAATGATGTGCAATTATAAATACAATCGTCATAAAAAAAAAAACTATCTATTTCTTTATTTGATCCAAAAATTGTAAGTTGGACATTTTGTGGATAGTTATTATTAGCAATTTTTTGAACTAATTTTATTGTTATTCAAAAATTAAAAATGTTGATTATTTAGAAATTATAAAATAATTAATTAATTTTTTATTTAGATATTATGAATTTGTATTTTGAGTTTTATATGATACATTCATAAATTCATAAATAATAGGTTGAAAAAAAAATAATAAGGATAAGATTCAATTTTTTTTTTTTAAAAAATTAATAAGTAGAAGAGATTCTAGAAATCATATATTCTATGGTTTTTTTAATTTTATTTACGATCTGAAATTAAGCCTTCAAAATTTTGAAATTTATTTTTCAATTTTTAAATAATATATAATTTTGATTTTTTTTTTGTGTAAAACTTCCTATTTTTTAAGGAAAAAGTTTACTTACACCGAGTTCATGGCCTACTCATAGATCACACTAATGAGAATAAAATTTTTTATTAAAATAAAAGTATTTCTGACCATACACCGAAAATAAAAAGTCAAAATACTTTTTAAGAAATCATTACCGTCATCGGCAGTGTTGTCAAAATCGCGTTTCAACTTGTAAAATCGTACGATTTCACGAGCCAAACTCTTAAAAACGAGTTGGATCGGGTGCAAAATCAGAAAGTGGTAGAATCAGCGTGAAATCGTAGTAAACTCAATAGATTCATTAAACTCGGTAAACTCGGCGCATTTTCAAATGCGGATTAGAAAATGGGTTGTTTTTAATCCTAGGCCAAAAATAGATTAAGCCCAAAGCCTAAACGGTGTCATTTCAAACAAAATTAAGGATTTAGTCAGACAACTCCTTCCCTATCACCGTTTTCTTGCTTCTGTCCCGATTCTCTCAACTGTGACGTCTCGCTTCTATCAAGCCAAGCAAGCGAAGTTGATCGCCAAAGGAAACTCCACTACTTCAGGTACTTTATTATCTTCTTCCCTCCTTTGTTCTTTCTTTTTTCTTTTTATTTTTTTATTTTTGTTTAGCACTTGCAGGAATTTTTCTTTTCCTCTTCTTTATTTCTTTTTGTTTTTTTCTTTTATTTAATACTTGCAGAAAAATTATAGTTCTTCTTCTTTATTTCTTTTTTCTCTTTTGTTTTTTTTTTTTTTTTTTTGCGTCGGCTTTTATACGTGTTATCTTTCTTATCGCTTATTGCTATAAGGTGACTAATCTTCATCGTTTGGATTGCTCTCTCCACTGATTTCAGATAATGCCATTCCCAATGATACAGCTGAAGTGTTTTTTTTTTTTTTTTTTGTTTAATAGTTATAGAAATATAGATTTTTTTTTCTTTTATTTCATTGCTGTCCCGTTTATTTCATTGTTGTTCTTTTGTTTTTTTTTTTTTCTTTTGTTTAATTCCTGCATAAAAAATGGGTAATTGTAATATAAAGTAAATGAGATGTGTATTATTTATGCTTTTTTTTTCTTTTATTTCATGGTTGTCCCGTTTTTTTCATTGCTATTCTTTTATTGTTTTTTTTTTTTCTTTTGTTTAATTCTTGCATAAAAATTATGTAATTATATATAAACTACCTGAGATGTGTATTTTTCATGTTTTTTTCTTTTATTTCATTGTTGTCTCATTTATGTGATTATTCATTGCTGTCCTTTTAATTTTTTTTTTATAGGTTTATTGTTTATAATTGTATGGAACAAAGAATGTCATCTATGATCGAGTCTAAGGGTGAGAGCAATAATACTAGTAGGAGGAATGAATCGGGAAATAGGTCTGATATTGGTTGGGTGCACGGTATAGATGTGGATAACAATTTAAAAAGAGTGCAATGCAAACATTGCAACAAAATTTTTAGCGAAGGAATATATCGTTTTAAACACCATTTAGCCGGAACTCGTAAGGACGTTGAATCATTCTTAATTGTACCTGAGGAAGTTAAGAAGCAAATGTTAGGAGTCTTAGCCAAACTAGTAGAATCTTCACAGAAAAAAAAGAAGATATTTTTTACTTAGATGATAATATGTCTAACGAGGTCGAACAACCAGTTTCAAAGAGAAAAGATGATATGGGGTTTTTTTCAAAAGAAAAACTCAATAAAAGCAAGAGCAAGCAAACAACTATTAATCAGATGATGAAAACAGATTTAAGGGAAGAAGCTTGTCAACAAATAGCTAGGTTTTTTTACACAAATGTAATTCCTTTTAATTGTGTGAAAAATCCTGAATTCATGAAAATTTTTAACTTAATTGGAAGATATGGCATTGGATTCAAAGGTCCTACTTATCATGAAATTAGAGAAAAGTATTTGAAAAGGAAATAAACTGCACAATGGATTTACTTGATGAGTATAAAGTAGAGTGGAAGAAAACAGGTTGCTCTGTCTTGTCTGATGGATGGAATGATAAGAAAAGACATTCAATTTCCAATTTCTTGGCTAATAGTCCAAAGGGAACTATTTTCTTGTCATCATTGGATACATCTCACATTTCTAAAACTACAGATAAAGTTTTTGAAATGTTAGATGAAATAGTATAGAAAATAAGGGAGGAGAATGTTGTGCAAGTGGTTACTGATAATGCTGCAAATTATAAAGCTAATGGAGAAAAGGAAAGGATTGTTTGCTAATGGAGAAAAGGAAAAGATTGTTTTGGATACCTTGTGCTGCACACTGCATTGACTTGATTTTAGAGGATTTTGAGAAGAAGGTAACGGTCAATAAGGTGACAATTGCCAAAGCAAGAAAGATTTCAGTATATATTTATGTAAGACCTTTTACTGATTTCCATTCTGAGGCATTTTACTAGAGGTAGAGACTTGATTAGACCAGCTGCTACATGTTTTGCCACTGCTTATTTGACCTTAGGATGCCTTAATGGTCAAAAAGGGTTTTTGATGTCCAAGTTTACTTCCAAAACATGGAGAGCTAGTAAGTTTGCATCAACACAAGATGGGAAGTGAGGGCAACACATGGTTTTGGATTCTAGATTTTGGAAAAATATTGTTACATTTCTTAAAGCTGCATATCCTCTCATCAAAGTGCCTAGATCGGTGGATTCAGAAGAGAAACCAGCTATGGGTTTCATTTATGAAGAGATGGATCAGGTAAAAGAGAAGACACAGCCAATTTCAATAATGTTAGGAAAAGGTAAACAAACTGAATTTATTTTTTTGGTACTTTATCGCAATTTACAGTGATTGATATAGAATTTGAATTTACATTTTAAATGTAGCTAATTCAGTTTTTTTCATTTAAAAGCTATGAACCTGTATGGAAAATCATTGATGAAAGATGAGAGCTTCAATTACATGGGCCTTTGCATGCAGCAGCTTACTACTTGAACCCTCATTACCATTATAGTCCTAATTTTAAAGTTGATGCTAAAATTAAAATTGGACTATATACTTGCCTTGAAAGAATGGTGTCGGATTCATGAGAGAGATGCAAAATAGATTTACAACTTGAATCTTTCAAGGATGCAAAAGGTTTATTTGGCATAGAAGTTGCAAAGTTGGCTAGGGACAAGAAACCTCCAGCTAAGTGGTGGGATTCTTATGGTGATTAATGCCTTGAATTGTAAAAATTTGCAATTAGAATTTTGAGTTTGACTTGTAGTTCTTCTGGTTGTGAGCATAACTGGAGTGCATTTGAAATGGTAATATTTGTTAATGAAACTACTATTTAATTATTTTAATTCATATATATGTTATCTAATATTGTTTATTTACCTTGTTTACCTCTATAGGTTCATACAAAAAAAAGGAATCGCTTGCATCAAAAGAAGATGAATGATTTGGTTTTTGTAGTGTACAATTTGAAGTTGAAAGACAGAAAAGCTAAACATTATGATGAGCCAACATCTTTTGAAGAATACCATCCGATGATGAGTGGATAGCTGAAAAAGATCATCTTGATTCACCATTGGCAACAAATAATGATTGGTTAGATGTTCTTGGAAGCGAACCAAACAAGTGGTATAAATATAGATGAAGAAGAAAGTGGTGGAAATCAAGTATCAAATGAATTTAAATTCATAGAAAGTCATGAAGCAAGCGATGATTTAGAAATCCATAACTCTAATTTGGATGGTGATGACATAGGTAGCAGTTATAATGAAATAGGTAGGGCATTTGGTGGTGATGAAGAGTATAGTGGTTTTGAAAATGTGAATGATTATGAAGGGTGGTAGTCTTGAAAAAAGTGCTAACGACTATTTCTGGTCTTTTAGCTCATCTTTACTTAGTATTTTTCTTTGCTTAGGAATTCTTATGTTTTTTTTTTTTATTGTGTGTGTTGTGAACTTGGTTTGTATTATGACAATATTATCTCTTTTCTATTATTAGTTTTATTTTTGACTTGTTATAAATTTGCATGGGAGCTATATTACTTTATTTTAAGTGGTTCGTTTACGTTTGATTTTGTGCACTGTCCATCAATTTCAGGTGAAAATATGAGTTTGACAACCTTGGTCACTGGTTTGGTCCATAAAACGTGGCTATGAACTCTGTCTAGATAAGTAATTTTTATTTTTTTAACAGATTTAAATTATATTTAGAATCAATAGATATCTTTATTTTTTATATTTTAATAATATTTAATAATAAAATTATATTTTACTGTTAAGTAATTAAATTAAAAATAATATTTATCTATATATTATCTTTATTGAATTACTTAAATTGTAAAACTTTATTTATATAGAATTATCTGTGATATGATACAATATTTAAATTATTTAAATTATAAACTTTAGTCAACACCTAGACATAATTAATTGAATTTTTAATTATTTAAAATAAATTAATTACATTATAATTTCTATAACATGATAATCTAAATAAAGCCTGTGGAAAAATAGATCTTTTAATAATATACTAAACACAATTTATAAAAATTAAATCTAATTACATAATAATTCTATAAACATGAATAATGCTAAATAAAGCCTGTGGAAAATACGATCTTTTAATAATATAGAACTAAAACATAATTAATTGAATTTTTAATTATTTAAAATAAATTAATTACATTATAATTTCTATAACATGATAATCTAAATAAAGCCTGTGGAAAAATAGATCTTTTAATAATATACTAAACACAATTTATAAAATATCAATAAGCGCAAAATGCGGGCCTTCACCTAGTTATATATACTAAAGCGAAAACCAAATTTACGGTTAATAGAATAGTAATTTTGACTTTCTTCGGGAATTTTACTCTTCTATTATTGTCGAAGGACAAGTTTACCATTTAATTGTTAAAATTTGACAAATCAAATGTGATGAAAGTCGTCATACAAATGATTGCGACGTGTCATTCCTGTGAATAAAAAATTATATCCGTACTCTAAGATTTTAACTACTAGATTACTTTGTTCAAATATTATATTTATTTTTTATTTGTTAATTTTAATCAAATTAAGTTTTTAGTTAAAAAATAGAATTGTATTAAATTCACATAATTTTACTTGGCTTTTTTAAAATTTTAGTTTAATTACTTTTTGCTTAATTCTTAAAAACATATTGGTAATTAAATTTTAAGTGTCAGAATTTTTAATGACTTAAAAAGAGAATAATCTAATTTTTAAGAATTTTCTTTACTTAATAGATTAAGATGTTTTTGCTATTCTTATAACCAAGGGTTGTTTTTTATCATTTTATTTTATAATTTTTAATTATAATAATTTTTTATCATATTGATTTTAAAAAAAACTAAGAAATAAGACTTTCTCTCTTCCTTTTTCGTTGGAATTTTGTTTCCTTTTCTCCGTTGAAACACCAAAAGTAAGCATGTTGACATAGGGAGGGGCTGATTTTTGTCTCTTGTAATAGCCACTCCCTATTATTTTTTATTTCGTTGCAAATTTTTTTGTTTTTTGTTAAATAAGGTACAGATCTATGACTTTTTGACACAAATTTTTAGTTATTAATGTTTTTGCTATTTTTTGTGGTTTATCTCCATCTTAGGTGAAGTTTTTATTGTATTTTGCATTTATTTGGGTTTACTTGGACAATGTGCAATTTGTGGAGAATTTTTTACATACACGATGATCTTTGTCTTTTTGAGTCTGGCAGTGCGGTATGTTCCTTCATTAGATTTAGTAGTTCAAACCCCTTTGTGTTCATCGTAAGCAACTAATTCATTGATATTAGGCCATGTATGGAAGATTTAGTTTGTTTAACCAATTACTTTGAAGATCTATTAATTTTTTCAAGTTCACCTTCCAATTCCAATTTTCATTAGACTTTCTTATTAGATCAGCGAACAATAATTGTTTTAGTTTTGTTCTATGTTTGATCTTTAGAAGAGGATTATATCCTCCAGCATTATTTGTATTGATTTAAAGTTTTTAATAAATCCTAATATATTATACTCAACAAAATTAGGAAATAAACCATTCATTTAAAGATTGATCAATAACATGAAAATATATATATATATATTTCATTTTTCTTATTCTTCCCTTAATGTTAACACTATAAAAAAAGGACATGTTAATTAACTAAAGTCCGTTATCAAATAATCTTGCAAATTTTAGAATTGGAAGTTTGAAATACTAAAAATTAAATACATTTAAAAACAAAATGTAAATTAAATCCATATTGAAAAAAACTTAGAAAAAAAAAATTAAAGTCCGTTTGTTACAATTGTTTATTTTTTTAGTTTTTTATTTATTATAAACATAAAGCTATTTTTAGTTTTTGGTTACTTATTTTCTCAAAACTCTTTTTTTCTTTCTAAAATTATATTTTCCTTTCTTTTTGTTCATGATGTAAAAAATTCTTCCAATTATCAAATCTCTCTCTTATTAAGGCATTAAAGACTTTAGTTAATTATAAAAAATCTAAAAATATAAAATCTAAGACAAAATAATTAATAATATTTCACATTTTAATTTTTAAAATTCAAAGTTAAATTAATTATTGATTATTGTATACAATCAATTTAATAAAAATATAATATCCAAGTAAATAAAAAATACTAAATGACATTAAATATATATAGGTAGAGAAAATAATAATAAATATTAAAAATAATACTAAATAGAGAAGAGATGGAAAAAAAAGCCTCGAATTTTATTAGAGATAATAAAACTAATGCTTATATATTTTGAGCAAATAAATGACATTAGATTTGTATGGATAGAGAAAATAATAATAATATGTATGGATAGAGAAATATAATAATATAATAAATAATAATAATAATACAGCTTTATGAGGAAAAGTCTTATAGAAAATGAAAAAAAAAAGAGGAATGTAGAATAAAAATAGAAAGTGCAATTATAGAAACCATTATTTGTGATTTCATAAATTTATTTTTTTGTTTGAAAAATAAGTTTTCTAAAAAGTTAAAAAAAAAATTAAACAAGTTTAAACAAACAAGTTTTCTTTATTTAAAAAAACAAAATAATAACAAAAAACTTAATCTAAAACAAAACCTAAATAACCTTTAAAATATGTTGTACATATGTATCAAAATTAATACAATGTATTAGAATCTATTTTTTTTTTTTACATAAACATATTCTTTAAGAATAAATATTTTATTAAAAATTTAAATGTTGAAAATCAATTTAATTCCTAATCTTTTCTCTTTTTTTTTTGAAAAGAAATTATTTTCAATATTAAACAATTATTCAATATTGTAAATTTATAATAGCTTTTTAATATATTATCAATAATAACTTTAAAATAATTTTCAAAATAAATCTCATTTTTTTTTCTAATTAACAACATCTATTATAAAATTTATTTCACCATTTAAAAAAATACATACCCGTAGATCACAAATTATTTAATTTGAAATAATATATCTCATTAATGATAAAAATAATAAAAGTCATTTAATAACAACTTGCAGTAACTATTTTACCATCAAAACAATATAGTTTTGACCTAGAAAGGTTAAACTAACTCATAGGCAAAACTACATCGTTTCAGGTTTAGACATGGCCACGGATCTAGAATCGCCGGTTTCGATTCTAAATTTTTTAGAACCGGAACTGAATCGAAAATTGACGGTTTCGGTTCCGGTTCCTTAATGGTTCTAACACCGACGGTTCCGGCCGGTTCTCCGACCGATTTTCCGGCGAATCGCATAACCGTAAAATAAAAAGTAGAGAATATTTTCCTTCAAAATTTAAAATTTAAAAATTTATGAAATAATTTCTAAAAAAAATACATTTAAAAAATTAAAAAATGCTTGAATTTAATTTATTTTTTAAAAAAATACTTTGATATTAATTTATTTTAAAAAAAGGTCTTCAACTAAATTTATTTATTGTTTAAAAAGGCTAAAACTTAATTTTTTTTTTTTTAAAAAGGATTGAACTTAATTTATTTTAAAAAAATTAAGTTGCCTACGTATCTTCTTGGAGCTTAGAGAAATTAAAATCCACGTAGTTCTTATTTACCTTGTATCAATTTCACCCATTTTATCTTAGTTGCTATTGTCACTACTGGTTGATGTTCCCATTGGGGACTCATCGTAAATGTTATATGAATCTTCATTTTCTTTAGTATTTTCTTGTGCTCTAAATTCAAAATTTTCAACCAAAAAAAAAAAAAGCAAAATATGAAAACTATGATAAATATTTTATTTAATTATTTCTTACAAATAAATTAAAATTACAATGAGCATCATTATTGATAAATAATAAAAAACTATAAAAATGAAAAAGAAATGGAGTAAGAAAGGTCCGAACTCTCAACTCAGGATTGCTCAACTGCTTTAGCTATCAGACCGTTAGCCAACTGCACCACCACCACCCCCTTCATACTTGCTTGCTCCTTTTATGTATGAGACTACGCCCTAGCCAACTAGGAACCGGTCCGAACCGGATTTTGAACCGACTGGAAAAACAGGCGGTTCCAACCGGTTCCGGCCGGTTCTTGGAACCGCCGGTTCACGGTTCCAAAAATGGTGGAACCGGAACCGAACCGTAGGCAATCTGTTTCGGTTCCGGTTACACCCGGCTCTGGTTCGGACCGGTTCCGGATCCGGTTCGGACCGGTTCCAAACCGGCGGTTCCGGTTCCAAAAACCGGATTTTGGCCATGTCGGTTAGGGACTTAGGGTTGTTGCATTTAAATGATAGAAAAAAAAAAAAAAAAAAAAAAAAAGAAAAAAAAATAAAAAAAAAAAACAAAATCTCTCAATATCTTCTTTCTTTCCTTTGGCAACTCCCTGCGCAGCTCCCTCTTCTCTCCTTCCTAAAAAAAAAAAAAAAAAAACAAAATTCCTCTCAATATCTTCTTCTCCTTTGCAACTCCCTGCGCAGCTCCTCTTCTCTCCTTCTACGGTTCTTCCCGCCCGGCTGCCGTCAGGTCCTGAGCTGCTGCCATCCCTGCAACTGACAGTATAATCCTTAACCATGGAAAAGAAGAAGAGAGGTAGACACCAAAACCCCCAGCCTTTTATCCCAGAAGATAATGATTCTGTTGCCTCCACCAAGAAACGAGCCAAAGCACCCAAGCACCATCAGAAGCAAGAACAGGTGTCCTCTCTTAACCTATATATATATTCATAAAAAGAGAGTTGTATAATTAGTTACATTAATGATATTTCTTTCTTGTTTACTTCATCTGTAGATGATCTCTTCGGGAATAAGCTCCAAAATCCTTAAAGAGGCTCTGATTCAGCAAAAGGAGATTCAAGAGGAGGCTGAGGAGACCAATCCTACTCACAATGCCTTCGCAGTTGCTGACGGGGAAGCTGTTAGGCATCAAAAGATAGAAGACGAACAAGAAGATGTTGATGATTTCAATGGATTCTCTGAAACTCAAACCCAGTTCGGCGATTATGATGTGAGTTCTCTTTATATTTGTACGTTGTCCTTTTTGTGAACTTTCAGCTTACTTGTGCCTGCAGAAAAATTCTATAAGCCTTTTTGCATTAAAATTTTGTATTAACATATTTGTAGTTACCATGGACAGTGCTTGTTGAATCCTATGTTACTATTATCATTTTATTATTTTAATCATTACTCTTTTCTTTATTGGTTGGTTTGGGTGTTGTAGGATGAGATTGATGAGGAAGAGGAGAAATTACTGGAGGCATTCTTATCCAAGGATGCTGGTCGACAACGCACACTTGCAGATATCATCATTGAAAAAATTAAACAAGAGGATGCAAATGTTTCTTCAGGTTTTTATAATTTTACCCTAATTTTTTTTATGAGTTTTGTCTGGTTCTTTAACTCGAGGTTTGAATAAGTCCTCTTCAACCAATAAGTGTTATTTATATTATTGTATACTTATTCCAAATTGATTTGTTTGATCGCAGAAGCACAACCTATGCCTAAACTGGACGAATCTCTCATAGATATGTATAAGGGGTAAATTAGTGTCGTCCTTTCTTTTCTTTTTTTCTTTCTTTTCAGCTATGCTCCTCTATGAGCTTCAAAAACATTGCCGAAACAACTTTTCTTTTCCACCTGTTAAGTTTGTTTTGAAAAAAGCATGCTGATTTTCCTTTAAAAGAGCTTTTCCCAAATGTGACTTGGAAATTGAAGTATTTCTTGATATAAATGTGTATTCAGAATTTTGTTAATTTTAATGTGCAGGGTTGGTGAATTTTTGAATAGATATACTGCTGGAAAAATGCCTAAAGCATTTAAACATATTCCTTCCATCCAACCTTGGGAGGATGTCTTGTACCTCACTAAACCTGAGAATTGGTCTCCAAATGCAATGTATCAAGCAACAAGGATCTTTGCTTCCAATCTGGGGGGAAAGAAGGCAGAGCGTTTCTATAGGCTTGTATTACTTCCTCGAATCAGAGATGACATTAAACAGAATAAGAGGCTTCATTTTGCTTTATATCAAGCTTTGAAAAAGTCTCTTTACAAACCTGCTGCATTCAACAAAGGAATATTGTTCCCATTGTGTAAGGTGCAGATCAGCACAAAAATATGCTATATGGCATGCCCTCTGTAGTGCTATTTTCCTGACTATTCCCTTAATTTATTATACTCTGTGCTGTGACTATTATTACTTTATTGTTTTCCCAATCACTATTGTTTGCGAGGTGCAATTTGCAAAGATGATATTGTTTCCGAGAGCAAATTTCATTGCAAGCATGGACTTGACTTGTTTAATGTTATGTTTAGTAATTGACCTAAGCAAGTACTGCGTAGCATACCACAATTTAAATTGATGAAACAATTGAACCTATCCTTCTTTATGTGATATATCGAAATGAATTGCATACTCTATCCCTATTATTGCTTATAAAAATTTGGTCAGATTCCTGTTGTTACCTTGCCGCGTTTGCTTTGCTGCTTAGAATATTTTATGTTGCGACTCCTGCTTTTTTGCTTCCTTGTTAGTTTGTTGTACCGATTTGTTTTGGGAAGTATTTATCTTCATGGCTGCATTACTTTCTTGCCATGATTATAATGCCCACAAGTTTAGAAGACATCCTCTGAATATTATATTTTTGTTGGCATGATTGTTTTCTCTGATGCCTATTTAAGACCAAATAATAGCATATAAAAGAAATATCTTTACATATCCAGTCCAAGTCCTCCCTTGCAATGGGAAATAGCAGTCTGCTGCTGCCTCTACTGAAGTATTAATATTAGACACATCTGACATGTGTACATTATTAATTTTTTTTTTTTTCATGTAGTTTTACTTTTTATACGTTGGTTCATAAGCACCCATATAAGTCTGCATTGTGTATGTAGAAGTGAAAATTCTGACACTCAATGGTTAGCTTAAATTCATCAAATAATCTATTGGAAACAACCACCTCGTTCCTCATTATCAACTGTTTTGTAACTATTTCATTTTTAGGGCATTTTTATTTTCAATTGCTGAAAATCAAAAAACTTTATGAGGGTGAGAACATTATGATAAAATTGCTGGCACCAAACTTGGGCTCTGGGTGAGGTGATAGGAGTTGGGGATTAACGGTTTTAACTTGGGGAGAATTGAGATTAGGATTTCAGTTCAATAGGGATTTAACTGGATACTTTGATAGTTCAGCTAAGATCTGCAGCTATCTACAGTTATTGAGTCTGGCAAATGATGAAATATTCAGGCATTCTTACAAAGAATTTTAAGGAACCAGACTGGAAACTAGAAAGCAGCAACATTCTCTCAAAAATCCTGATGGCTTCTAGACAACACTATTTATTTTCCCCTCATTTTTGGTTTTAGATCGTGAAGCTGTTGGCTAGTGCTTCTAATTAGCATCCTAATTCTACTGCGAGTAGAAATCCTGAATAAGCTATGCCATATTAATCAAGGCGCACTAAGGTGCAAAGGGTTGTTAGAGCCTAGACACTAGCCTCAGGGTGAAGGCGCGCACTTGGCCAATATGAGGTACAAAAAGAAAAAAAAAATGAATATAATAAAACACAAATCTGAAAATATGATTTAAGATATAAAGAAAAAGAAAAAAACTCAGTAAAACATGGAGAAAAACACATAATTGAAAAAAAAAAAAAAAAAAATTACAAAAAGAAAAAAAAAAATGAATAATAATAAAACACAAATCTGAAAATATGATTTAAGATATTAAAAAAAAAGAAAAAAAGCTATTCAGTACCAACATGGAAGGAAAAAACACATAATTGAAAAAAAAAAAAAAAAAAAAACAATTCGGCAAAGACAACAACTTATGTTTTTAAGATATTTGGATTTAAGATAGGAAGGGAGCAGAATGAAGAACATGGATCTTCTTAAAAAAAAAAAAAAAAAAGAACAAAGAACAGTAAAGAAAGCAGATATATAGGAAGAGAAATTGAGCATCAAAAAAAAAAAAAAAAAAAACAATCGGCAAGACAACAACTTATGTTTTAAGATATTGGATTTAAGATAGGAAGGAGCAGAATGAAGAACATGAGTAAAAAAAAAAAAAAGAACAAAGAAAGTAAGAAAGCAGATATAGGAAGAGAAATTGAGCATCTGAATGGCTGATGGCTAGACACTAGATTGCAGGAGGTGAGCACTAGATGGAGGAGTGGATGTTGGATTGGAAAGCACATCATTGGTTTTTATGTTACATTCTATTTCTTTTATTTATTTTATGTAAACAGATGCTAGCTCGACAGCTTTATATTGAAAGAAAAACCCTAGGTGACTTGTTCAGGAAAATAAATAGAAAGGAGTGCCTTTCTTGTGCCCAAGGTGCATGCCTCTACTAACAGGAAGTCGCCTTACTGACGACATCTGAGGCACAAGCAGTTGAGCGTTAAGTAGGTGTGCCTGTGACGCACCTTTACTTACTATGGGCTAGCCGAACTTATGCTACCTTCTCCAAAAGATCAAGTGGAGGCTGCTTAGGAAAAATCATTATCTAAACACAACATAAAGAAAACTCGCAAGTGCACGACTTCTTAGATTGTAAGAATGTAAAAGAAGATGAGCTGATGGTTGAATTATGTAAAGGGATCTGAGAGTATATGATTGAATATGGCCATAGAAAAAGACAACTTAGGTTTTAAACTCTTTATTTTAACACTTGCTTTTTCCTTACCTTTATTGACAAAATTAGTTATTGCATGGATATTTCTCTAATTTTATATGGAATTATGTTAGATGAACAATGACATTAATGTTTTTATCCGCTTTTATTGTTAGCTAGGCACATGTACTTATCCTTGTAATCTTTCCTGATGCATAACTAGCCGAAATTGTTTTCCTTTTATTCTATTTTTATAGCATTAACCAATTTCAATGTGTTCTATTAATTTGGCTAGCATAAAAAAATATGCACATCAACTATAATTTTGTCCTCTGTATCTTTTCTGATAGTCAGTGAACCACATATTTCTGTTTTGATGAAACTTCATGTTCCTTCTTTGACATGCAGTCAGGGACATGCAACCTTAGGGAGGCTGTGATTGTTGGAAGTATTATTCAAAAGGTTTCCATTCCCATGCTCCATTCAAGGTAAGCTAAATTTTGGATTGTTTAATCTTGACTTCAGGCATTATATTAACTAATGGGCTAAATGATTCGCAAATGTGATTGTAGCAGCATCTTATTAACAAAAAACAACATGAAAATTCTGTTATGACTAGAACTATGATGGATAATTCTATTCTTGATTTAGCACCATGAGAGACTCTTCCTTATTTATTTATTTTTTTGCTTTGAGATTGTATCCGTTCTCTGTTATTAATTGTAACATTAGGTCTTTTCATGATGGTTTGCATCTAGTGGCAAGGCTGGTTTTTGGATATTACATTGTGCAACAGGTTGGTTGTGTCTAGCAGCTTGTGTTAAAAATCTGGTGTTTCACAGCTAGTTTGGTTGATTCAGGTTTCAAAAGTTTTTTATGATTGTTACCAAACTCATAGGTATTCAAAACCTGGAAAGCATGAAACTGGGCTAAGTATTTTATTGGGTTTCAGAGATGGATAGGTGTTTTTGTTATTCACTTATCCTTGCACACCTGGGTAGGATGAAATTTAAACTTTAGATGGTTGTGGCAAAATTATGTGATGAGGACAGGGTAGGTTTTAGGGCTGGCTATTCAGCTAGATTTTTGGTCTAGAAGAAAGCTGTAGTGGGCAGAAACTAAATCTTGTAAGGACGGGCAATTTTGAAGTTAAATAGCACAAAGAGCTGCTTGCAATTTAGGTTTAGCACTGAGAACAGTACCTGTAAACAATGAAATAAGTGTTTAGGCTCAGCCCTCAACCTCCTTAAGACAGATAAAAAAGAAGCGTAATTACTATAAATTTTGGTCATTGATTCATAAAACTGAATCATAAGTATTACAGACATAGGTATTCGATATAATCCTAAACACCATGTTTGGGAGCAGAAATGGAGAGATGAAAATGATATTCACTCATCAGAATTGAAGGTGGAAAATGGGGAGGATTGGAAGTCTTAAAAAATATGGCTTCATCAATGGCAAAATTATGCAAGTATTCCTTACATGGGACTTCATTTATTTTCACTTTATTTTCCTCCCAGATTTGAAAGGTGAGTATGGGTGGGTGCAAGGGAAAATTTTCTTCCCTTTTCCTAACATGAGGAGCGAAACATTTCCAAAATTCTCCTCAAATTTTCTTTCATCTTATTTTACATCCTTGCCTAACATAATAAAATTTCAAAAGTAGTTCCGGTCCTCTTAAGAATTTGGATTCCAAAAGAAATTTAGATGCAATAATGTTATCCTAAGGCATAATGACATAAATTGAGATTCTAAAATAGAAATAAAGCTATAAAGATGTCTAGATGGAGTTCACCAAGAAAGCTATCAGCAGCTAATTTATTTGAACAGATTACTAATCAACCAAGCCTTGTAGAATCTCATAGGAGCTTTACTTATTTCATGCTAAACCGCCCACGTTGATGGGAGCAACTTGTCCAAGTCAAGTCTCAGGCACCATCGATGCAAGAACGTAGCAGTCTTCCCTATCCGATATCAACCCTCTAAAATTTTGTTCATCTCTTTTTGTAATTCTAAGTTTCTTGAATCTTTGAACTTTATGCTTCTTGAGTTTATTGTCATCTGAATCAGTATACAATTGATCTCAAATTTTTTGGAAAAGCTTGGAAATATATGAAATTAGAGTACTTTTTTTAAAGTTTACAGTGCTAGTTTGAGAGTCTCTGCTGGAGTCTGGAAAAAGAACAAACAAGGAACTATTATAAACATTGTTTTGGCAAATGACTTTGAATTGAAATAGAAAGGCTGATTTCAACTGTTATAGAAAAAAGAAGGAAAAAAGGAGCTCTTCAGGATGCAAGGGTTGTATTGTTGAAATAAAAATTGAAATCGCAATTGATTAAAAAATGCATGAGGACAGAAAACCTATAATCGAACTGGATTGCTTCTTACACAATTTTAATGGTACCATAGCATATAGTCCCTAAGCTCCTGAATGAAAATCAGGTCTCATTAAGGATCTAACTTGGTGTTGCAGTTAATAAAGAAGCTGCTGGCTAAGCACCTTGGTGAGAAAAACATTGTCTTGTATCATAAATTAATTAATAAGCCCGTGAGTGTGATAGATCCAACTTTGATAACCAATTTTCCAAGTTTGCCTTTCTAGAGCTCTTTAATTTTGCCTTGTTTGATCTATTACTAATCTTCATTTGCATGGTCAAATGATTTGGGTGAATATGATGATTGTATTGTTCAGTTAGATATTGCTTGTGGAGACTGGAGACAAATTGCTATACAATTTGATTTCTGGAAGTTGCACCAATTTTTAAATATTTATAACAATTTTGTTTCACTGTGTTCTCACCTTTCATTTTCAAGTTTTAGCATGTAGATCATACAATGCCTATCTTTTCTTTTCTCTTTTTTCTTTTGATTTTTTTTTTTTTTTTTTTTTTTTTTTTTGTTTCACTGTGTTCTCACCCTTTCATTTTAAGTTTTTAGCATGTTAGGATTCATAAAACAATGCCTATCTTTCTTTTCTCTTTTTTTCTTTATGAATTTTTTTTTTTTTTTTTTTTTTTTTTTTTGAGGAAGATCACACTTTTTTTTTTTTTTTTTTTTTTTTTGAGAAGATCACACAGTGCTTTTTGTTAGTGCTGGAATTGCATTATTTTATTTCCCAGTGAGGATTTTTAACTCAAAATTTGAATGGAATTGCAGTGTTGCATTGATGAAGCTTGCAGAGATGGAATATTGTGGAACAACAAGGTAACCTTTGACATATATTGAATTCGACAAAAAAAGAAGTATCTTGTAGCAGTTTTTGTGGTTTGTTTGTGCTGTGTTCCTAAATTTGTTTTGCATGTTTCCGAACTCTGCTGTCTCTATCTGTGTTAAAAAATTGCATTTGAAATTTTTTAATTTTGATTTGTCTTGTGATGCTATTGGAGGAACTAAGTACAGTTTTTTGCTTGCTCCATGAAGGAGCTATGCCAATTCCAGCTCTATTGTCTGCAGATGTTAGCCATTGAAAAGTTGGAATGTCATATGAGTTATTTATTATTTGGTCATTTATCTGCTTGCTTTTCTCTTTTTCCCTCTTTAATTCATTTACAATGGAGGCCCTACCTATAAATTTCTAGTATTTGTTCTGTGCTGGCTACAAAACAACCTATATTCCAATAATTTTGTTTTTAACAATATCAGACTTGCGTGGTGTATTGGTGACTGCTAATAAAACATGGAATATCACACATGCAAGATTGTAAGGTGGAATATGCCACTATAATGGTGGAAAATGATAAACAACATAATTTAATCACAATTTAAAAACTACTACGAACAAAAATGCTTAGCTGAATGGTCTGCCTTTTACTTGCAAACACATGCTTTTTTTCGATTATAGATCAGCAAAGGACCGAGGGCTTTTTATTCTTATTTTTTTAAGAAAATAAAAGTTTCTTCTCTTTTCTTTTAGTTCAAATGTGAAGTAATCTAAAATTATTTGACAATGTTGCTTTGATAAATCATTGCAGTTATTTTATCAAGCTTCTCTTGGAAAAGAAGTATGCGTTACCATATCGTGTGGTTGATGCAGTGGTTTCTCATTTCATGAGATTTCTTGAGGATACAAGAATAATGCCTGTAATATGGCACCAATCACTTCTAGCTTTTGTGCAAAGGTTAGTAAATCTTCTGTGCTACTTGCCTTGCCTCTTATTGTTGGCTTATATTTAGATAGAAGTGATAATGTTTCACGTGGACGCTACTTGCATGTGCACATGTAAATGTGCTATTAGGGTCCCAAGTTTGTATCTGGTTGTGGTTCTATTTAGTTGAATACAAACTTAGTATCAGTGCTCATTTGAAAGACCTCTGATCTCTGAGTTTTAGGAACTTACCTCTGGTTAAAATTCTGCCTGATTCTTTCATTAATCCACAGCCTTTTATAAAAACTGAATAGAATGTAAAATACTAGTTAACTATGCACTACATTGAAGAAACTTACTTAACAAACACCCACTGATTAAGGAACTTATTTTCATATGAGCAGAACAATACTAAATAAAAACTACACCTGTTAAGCCAGGTACTTAACATTATGTCACCCTATCAAACGCCCTCCCAATTCCTCTCTCTCCTCCTCCATAGGGCCGGGTGTCTTTCAAAAGGCACTTGTCCTCAAGCACAGCCTGAATAACATGCTATGTTCAACTTATAATAACATGAAGAATATTTCAAAATGCACTTGTCCTCAAGCACAGCCTGAATAACGCCCTCCCATTTCCCTCTCTACTCCTCCTCCATAGGGTCCGGTGGTCCTCAAGCACAGCCTGAATAACATGCTATGTTCAACTTATAATAACATGAAGAATATTTCAAAATGCACTTGTCCTCAAGCACAGCCTGAATAACATGCTATGTTCAACTTATAATAACATGAAGAATATTTCAAAATGCACTTGTCCTCAAGCACAGCCTGAATAACATGCTATTTCCAACTTATAATAACATGAAGAATCTTTCAAAATGCACTTGTTCTCAAGCACAAACCCTGAATAACATGCTATGTTCAACTTATAATAACATGAAGAAAACAGAGTCCTTATCACTTTTTATTATACCCGTGAATAAGATGTTAAATTGCACTTAGATCCTTGTTGCCATGCAATTCAGTAGCTCCTTCGTGCTTTGCTCTAATGCTTCCTCTGCGACATTACAGCTCATCACAATCATAACACAGTCCTTCCCCCCCTCCTCTAAAAGAAATCTCTGCACACTCTAATGTTCAACCAGTGGGGTCATTTCCCCTTTCAATAGTCTCTTTAGTCACAATTAGCACTGGTAGTTGCGGACTTGCAGTGTTCTGTCCTTCCAATCCAAAGGCTGCCAAGTCATGAGCAAGGCCCTTGTGCTAGCAGTTGCTGTTGTATAATTATGCTTGTCTAGTTGTGTTGTCTTCTCAATACATAGCATGAAGGCTTGAAACTGTTGCTGAAAAACTTCAAGTCACCCATAACTATTGGCTCTGGAACCAAATGTTATGGTCCCAAGTTTGAATCTGTGTCTATTTAATTGAATGTAGAGAAAGAATTGGAGTTTTTTTTTAAGATAAGCTTATACTATCCAAGTTTTAGGAACTCAAGCCTTGGTTAAAATTTTATTTAATTTTTCAATTAACTCGGAACCTTTTAAACAACTGAATACAATGGTAGAAGATTGGATGACTGTGCAGACACTGTTGAATATTTTGCTCCTGTTGAACATTTTTCTGTTTGATATCCTTGCAGATACAAGAATGAACTGCAGAAAGAAGATAAAGATAATCTGAGAACACTAGTTGGAAAGCAAAAGCATAAATTAGTAAGATCATCATCCCAAGTTTTTTCTATATTAAAGAATCAGCTGTAAATGATTGTATTTTATTCTGTCAGATACTTAGTCTTTATGCTTATTCTGCTTATAGGTCACTCCGGAAATTATCCGAGAGCTAGATAATAGCCGCAATCATAGAGAGATGGATGATCCCATGTTAATAAATATCCTTTGCAGAAAGATTGAAATTCCAAAATGCATATTATATATTTAGCTGCTTGTGAGTATAACCTTTATTATTGTGTGGAGATATTGAGGAGACTTTATATCATTTCAATGGTTCCCTACACTTTTATTCAGTGATTGGATTTCCTAGATTTCCTTGACTAGCCATTACCATCTCCTGTGTCTGTGATAAACAAAGTGATCGAAGAAGACAGGTTTGACATTCCAGATGTACCTATGGAGGAGGATTGAATGTTTTGCCCCTCGGTATGTGAACCAATCTTTATGCTACTTTTCACTTTATTTTGATAAAAAATGAAAGTCTTTTTTTAATCTTCCTGTCCCGTCCCAGCTGTATGAAAAAGCTTAGCTGGCACTGAAATCAGAGTTTTTCTATTGAATCAATCAGAGTTTGAATTCTGTTGCAGGTTGGAGAATGGAGCTTTTTGCTTGTGCAGTTTTGGATGTTTTATGAGAAGAAGCTAATTCAATTGAGAGAAGTTTCTGAGTGATTCCAAAATTTATTTATACCCATTTGTTTCTCTTAAAGCTTTTTGGCACATTATTAATTATTTAATGGCTTACAGGTATTTGTTTCCTCTTAAAGCTTTTAATATATTGTTTATAGATAATTTTTAAATTATTAAAAAATATCTTCTATATTATGTTCTTCATATCTTTTTTTTTTTTTTTTCTTAAAAAATATCTTCTATATTATGTTCTTCATATCTTTTTTTTTTGTTTTTCTTTTTTTTTTTTTTTTTCGTTTTTCAAGTTTGAAATTCATAATTTAATAGATTTGTTAGCAAACTTTGGAAAAAGCCGTCAATCAAGCTAAATCAAGTTGTTTTTGGTTGACTCTTTTCACATTTCGGTGATTGGTCTTGAATCGATTATTGATTATTTTTTGAATAAAATTGAAATGCTGTTTTATTAATAAATTGTTATACTCGTATTAATTTCATAAATTTTTTTAACATTATAAAAATTTAAATAATATAAGAGAAATTATATATAATTAAACGGTCCTTCTATCATGTTTATTAATTTATAAAGATTCTATTTTTCAAATCTCTTTTGTTGGTATCAGAGCCAAACGATCCTAACGATCTAAACATAGTTTACATTTTTAGATCTACTATCTGGATACTTAAATAAGACTTCATTTTAGTATATATCCTAAGCAGTTTTGACTTAGCCTACTGAACCCATTCCTATTGAACCCATGAGTAAGACCCATGTGAGAGGCATCGAAAGGGTATAACCAGGAGGGTATAACCAGGTAGTCATTAAAGCTTTTGGTATATAATAAAATGGATCCTTTGTTGTGTAGATCGGTTAGTAGTAATAAATCTGAAGACTCAGATAACTCAGAAATTAAAAGAGTAATAAATAGAAACAACAAAAGATAAAAGGATCGATTATCGATTTAATAATAACAAGTTCTTATTTAAAACTAGTTGATAAAGAACAAATTATAAAGTTTCCTAAATTTAATTTATTTTAAACAGATTATTGTTAATTTAAAACAGAAGAAAGAGATTTTCAATTAATGTAAACTTTTGAAAGGAATAACTCTTTTATCTTTAATCTTGTAAAATTAATTCATTTCTATTTATTACCCTTTTAATTTCAGAAGAATCTGAGTCATCAGATTTAATACTACTTACTGATCTACACAATAAAGGATCCATTTTAATATATCAAAGAAGTTTTGACTATTCGGTTATACCCTTCCAGGTTATACCCTTTTGATGCCCCTCATGGGTCTTATACTACTTCTGGGTTCAGTAGGAATCGGGTTCAATGGACAATGCCAACACAAAATTGATATACTTCAAATGAAAGACTTTATTAATGTTAAACAATAAGTACTTTTCAATCGTTAGGCTCTGATCTTCCACATCAGAAATACTATGATTAATTGGATTTATATGAATACTTATATAATTCATTATAAGGCAATGAATTCAGCCTTTGGTACTAAATATAAATTACAACCTAAAATTGGTGAAACAAGATTTCTTCAAACAGATTTGACTAAAAATTTGACCTAAACAAACACAGTAATTTCGCTAAAAAACCATCCAATGGAAGGATTATAATAACTCCAGTATGAATGATTTTAGAAGGGGTTGTACCTCCTCCAGTTATTGATAAAGTAAAACCAACATCCAATTTGCCAAAAACTTGAACCAATTTGAATTATGGTTAAAGTTAACTTTTAAAAATTTTATTAGAAGTAACAAATATGAGGTATGCAGGGTCATCATTCCTCTGTAACCAACAGATGAAAATGATAAACCTACGTTCATCCAGTTACCTTCTGTTTATTTATGCTAAGTATAAAGAGACTGAGCCTAAACCAATAATTCAAACATTTTAGTAAAACCAAGATTTTCTACTTCTGATATTCCCAAATTTAAAATGAAAGGTTGTTGATACAGTAATTTTCTGAGTACCCACAGGCAGTTTATAATCCTGTAAGATAACTAAAAACTGATGCTTCTAATATTGGTTATGGAGGCATTTTAAAACAAAAAGTAAATGGTAAAGAAAGGATCATCCAATATACTTCAGGTCATTGGATTCCAACTCAATTAAATTATTCTACTATTAAAAAAGAAATTTTAAGTATTGTTATTTGCATAAATAAATTTCAATCTGATCTTTTAAATCATAACCAGAGAAGGATTTAATATTTAATTGCCTATATTTAAATATTAAAATATGAATATTTAGATTATAAATTAAATACTCAAACTGACATTAAATTCTTTGATTGGTATAAATTTATTAAAGAACATTCTTCTAATAAAACCTTACTGTAGAGATAAAAAGACCAGATATGTGATTAGTAATGATCAAAACATATTAAAAGTTGATTTTTCCACCTAAATACAACTTTATGTAAATTTAAAAATTCAATGATTCATTGTGAATTATTGTCTGTTGCTTCCATTCTTAAACTGTATAAGGGTGGAAAGATTGAATTAAAATAATAAATTTAATTGAACAAATAAATCTTTTAGTAATGCCAGGGTGTTAATGTGTGTTTAAATACAACAATTAAAACGTTATTAGAAAGATTTATTAGAGATAAACCCAATTTGTAAATGAGACTGTAAAAAGGGTAAAGAAAAGGGTGACAGACGTCCATGGAGTTTAATACCTTATCAAATTTCTAATCTAGTAACAATGAATTTGTAAATACACGTAAAAGATCAATAAGGTAAATACCCAAGGTTTCGTTCTAACACTTACCCCAACATGTAACCCAGCAAATCTCCTTCATCAGGATCAAGCAAATACTCAAACATGATAGAAGAAACACCCACTCTATTGCTTAGTCGAACTGACTCCAGCCAAATATTACAACAATTTGAAAATGTCAATCCGGCTTATAGTTGTGATGAAGATTATTGAGAACTGTAATCCGGGGGCACCAGACCTAGAGTATAATTTGATAAAACCTTAAATACTATATCTCAATTTAAATTAATGCATTCAACTATTTATGAATTGGAACAATAGATGTTTAAGTGAATATAATATATTAAGTTTTATGAACAATGGACAGATGGCATATGCAAATGCTTAAAAACTCAATTCTATTATTTCAGATAGAGCTATAGCAGAAATTCATATCATAGCTCGGCTCCCTACGGCAATTAAAGAAGGTTGGTGTGGGGGTGTGATCATCTCACTTGATCAAACAACATTTAGAACCCAGTCTTAATATTCAGTTCATAGGTAAAAATGATGAACGGTGAACCCTATTTTATGATGAAAATGGTGAGGTGTAATTCGGAAGTGCAGCTTTCAACCTTATTTTCTTATACTTTCATTAATTTATAGGAGACCTCCCATCCTCACATAACAGCAATAAAAAATGCCGAATATATTATATAGTATCTTAAATGTTAGAAATTTAGGTGATTTTCAACATTTATCAAAAACACTTTTCCTCACTAGATTAATTGTTTAAGAGCAGGTATTTTGCCAACTCCAAAAGCTTTTGGAAAGAAAAATATATTTGGCTGGCATACTCTTATTATTTTAGGGGTAAAAGTTAGAACACCATACTAAAGGCGAACAATTCTGGACAACCTATTCCTTATAATAAATTAACCATATGTTACAGTTAATTAAAGTGTTTAATTCCATAAAAGGAAAGCGTGATGTTATTTTAAATTTGTTCAAGACTTAAAACTTCAAAGAAAATTAAAATAATTGAAAATGCAAAGAAAGCTAAAAGAAGGAAATTAGGTATTCGTTTTTTTGTAAAGGCGATTTTGATTATAATTTCATAAATTCAAACTAACGATGTGATGTCAATGGTTCCTTAAAAAAACTAAATTACCTAAAAAATTATTTTATAGAAATAATATAATACTCCAAAAAAACCATATAGGTCTCACACCCTAGTCAAGAATTAAATTCTACTCAGGTAAGAAACGTAGCAAAAACCTATCTTTATACAACACCAAAATAAACGACACTTCTAATCGTACACTAAAACATTCTCTATAAAAATTTTGACTTGTTTACATATTGTGGAAAAAATAAGGGCACATACAATAGTTAAATATTTGTAAATTTTTAATAAAAGATTACATGAATTAAAATTAGAAGATGATGTTTTAAATAAAATTTATGAATTATATATTGATTCTGATTCTTCGGAATCTGAGATTGAGGAAAGTGAAAACCAAATTGATGAATTAGGAACCACCACAAGTTCTTCCAGTTCATCAGATAAATCTATAAACATGCTTAGTAAAGATCAAAGTACATTATTAAAAGTAGTAAATACAATAGAAGACCAAGAAACTAAAGCAAAACTTCTTAAAAAATTAATTAAAAGCTTTGATAATGAAAAAGAAGTACCAGATATCACTCCTAAAATTCAACCTAATACTTAAATTCAAAACCTAACTACTATGATTTCAACCAGTACTTTAAATAAAAATCAAAGGGAAAATAGAGAATATTTGAATATCTACTAAAGAATTACGCAATGAAATTAAAACTGTTAAGAATAATGAAAGTTCATGTGAATTTATAACTTCAAAGTAAAAGAATTAAAAACCCAACTTCAACAAAATTCTAAAAAAATAAAAATACTAGAATCCCAACTTATTTCCAGTTCTTCCTCAGAAGAAGACGAATCAGATAATAATTTAAATGGACAAATAAATGAATTAGATGAAGATGTAGATTGTAATTTTCTCAATCTATTACAAGAAATTACTTCACGAAAATATTTAGTAAAAATAAACATTCAAATAAAGGATTTTGTGATAGATGCAATTGCACTCTTTGACACAGGTGCAGATTTAAACTGTATAAAATCTGATCTAGTTCCTAAAAGATATTGGTTAATTGAAAAATTACAGTTACAGTTCCAATAAATCTAAACTTTGAAATTATAGGGAAGACAGATTGCAAATAAATTCATAAATCAGTAATTACGACGAAAGTAAACACAGTAGTTTTGTGAGTAGTCTCGCTCACAATAAATTATATTGTCACTATATTAGGGGTTACTGCATTTTTATTAAAACTAATAAACCATATCAGTAAAAGAAGATTGTATTTAATTCGCAAAATAGAAAAATTAAGTGAGCTAGATTAGAATTTACAGAAAAACCTAAACAAAACAATTAAATTT